CAAACCAGGATACTGTATCAAACACAGGTAATACTAGAAACAACAAACCAGGATACTGTATCAAACACAGGTAATACTAGAAACAACAAACCAGGATACTGTATCAAACACAGGTAATACTAGTAACAACAAACTAGATACTAGATGTTTGACTTTTACTTTGCTATTTTGCAAAAAAAGATAAAAAGTACTTGCCTTGCATTTGTCCAATTGTTAAATCCTTATCAAGTCTGTCAATACCTGTATAGTAACAGAAACACATTTCCTCAGAAACGTGAGAGAAGACACATTAACCACATAATACATGTACCATTTTAGAAAATTTTTGTTTCTTTAACAGAAACAGAAATCAGCTTTTCACTTTAACTTTATGAACAAATTGTCTAGGATTACAATTACTTTTTTGTTAAATATTTATTCTTAACTAATTTTTGATGATACTAAACTGAAATAAAACATCTAACAAATTAAGTTAATTTAAAGATATTCTTCCCAATATGAAACTTATCTACTGGGTTAAAATATCACCTATGCTTTGCACTACCACTAACCTTGTGCAGAAAGATAATCTGTGAGAACTACTTAAATGTTACAAATAACCCAGGGTAAAACAAATAATATTTTAAGGTTATCCCTTGTTACAAGTAACACAGAGCAAAACAAATATTTGATTAGGATTATCACCTGTCACAACTAACCCAGTGCAAAATAAAGAATCTGGTAGGATTATTCCCAACACTATAACTAATCTAGGGCAAAACAAATACGTTTTTTAGAAACTACAACTACAACAAACCCTATGCAAAATAAAGAATCTGTTAGGGTTAATCCTTATGCTAAAGTGTAAAACAAATAATCTACTTGAATTGTCCCATGAACATAAACTGATATATAAGTTATGATTAACCCTAGCACTCAAACTAATGATTAGTTCCATTTAACAAAAACAACTTATATGAACTCTTGTTTAATTTGTCATCTAGTTTATTTTTAGTAGATCTCAATTTATTTTTTCTGTATTACTCCTCTTCATTTCATTGATAAAATATTTTAAAAAGTTTTATCATGTAGCTGTTTAAGGGATCCTTTGTGTACATTTGTCAAGAACTGTGTTGTGTAGTTATTCTTCTAACTTCTGTGTCCATCCTATTGTTCAGCTGGTCTAAGTAGTAGTTTAATATTTTTAATCAGATATCTGTAAACTTTCTAAAAACCATACAATTGTACACTGTAGCTGTTTATGAAATCCTCTGTATATGTTTCCAAAAGAGTTGTATCAAGTAGTTGTTTAAGTAATCCTTCGTATATGTTTCCAAAAGAGTTGTATCAAGTAGTTGTTTAAGTAATCCTTCGTATATGTTTCAAAAAGATTTGTATCAAGTAGTTGTTTAAGTAATCCTTAGTATATGTTTCAAAAAGAGTTGTATCAAGTAGTTGTTTAAGGAATCCTTAGTATATGTTTCCAAAAGAGTTGTATCAAGTAGTTGTTTAAGTAATCCTTCGTATATGTTTCAAAAAGAGTTGTATCAAGTAGTTGTTTAAGTAATCCTTCGTATATGTTTCCAAAAGAGTTATATCAAGTACTTGATATAACACTATCATATACATTATTGTACATCAATAACACCACATATGCACATAAACCCACCGGTCAATAACACTATCCAATATGTTATTGCACACCAACTCACAAACCAGTAATACTATCTAATATGTTATTGTACACAAACAAACCTGTCAATAATACTATCTAATGTTATTGTACATAAACAAACCTGTCAATACCACTATCTAATATATTATTGAACAAAAACAAACCTGTCAATACCAATATCTAATATATTATAGTGAACAAACCCATCTGTAAATAACACTATCTAACACATTATTAAACACACACCTACCTGCCAGTAACAACATCTTTGGTGGGCTACAAGATAAAAACATGCTGGAAAGCCCTTTAAACCAACCTGGAAAAGAAAGATTCTATTTATATTTTATTTTAATAGAGATAACAAAATAAGTACATGAAACATTCTGCATCTATTATGCTTTATTTTATAACATTTGACCAAATTAGTTCATTTTTAGAAGTTTAGAGCTGTATAGCTTGATATTACATATATATCTGTCACTACTCAATAAACACAAAAATTCAAACTTTCACTATCTCTACAATTAAATCTTAACTACGTATGGGAAGTTAGGTCTATAATACAGTAAAATAATGGGGAATCCCGGTCTATAACACAGTACTGCAATGGGAAGTCAGGTCTATAATACAGTACAATAATGGGAAATCCTGGTTTATAACACAGTACTGCAATGGGAAGTCAGGTCTATAATACAGTACAATAATGGGAAATCCCAGTGTATAACACAGTACTGCAATGGGAAGCCCTGGTCTATAATACAGTACAACAATGGGAAATCCTGGTCTATAATACAGTACAACAATGGGAAACCCTGTTCTTTAATACAGTACAACAATGGGAAGCCCTGGTCTATAATACAGTACAACAATGGGAAGTCCAAGTCTACAATATAGCACAATACAGCAATAGTAATCTCAAGTCTATAACATCTCATCCATTCATGTAGTTGTTTGAGAAATACACTGAGCATTACTTTTTCAATGTCATCCATGGTAGTTACATCAGAGAAGCCATTTCTTTATCATTACAGTATCAGTGACTTAAAATTTCTAAACTTCTTTGAAAAAAAAAAATGTCAAAGTTCATTTAAAAAAAAATCCTACCTGCCCAATATTTTTCTGTTTTCGACAAATCAATTCTCCAAGTGTAACGAGCTGATGCATACTGCCAAAATAAAAATAAGTCTTGTATCTACAATATACTTAGTGTAGCCTACCACAGGAGTAGGTATTCATACATGTTAACAAGTCATCATAAAGGATAATGTGAGATTTTCACTTGGCAGTAACCAACTAGAATATAAAAACATGACAGAAAGTGTAGGAAATGTATTAAATATAGCTCAGCACATTATCAATGCTGCAGTGCTGTAACTGACAGGCTTCAGCCAGCAAGGTTGGCTAACCATCTTCTATGCTGCAGTGTTGTAAGTGACAGGCTTCAGCCAGCAAGGTTGGCTAACCATCTTCTATGCTGCAGTGTTGTAAGTGACAGGCTTCAGCCAGCAAGGTTGGCTAACCATCTTCTATGCTGCAGTGCTGTAACTGACAGGCTTCAGCCAGCAAGGTTGGCTAACCATCTTCTATGCTGCAGTGTTGTAAGTGACAGGCTTCAACCAGCAAGATTGGCTAACCATCTTCTATGCTGCAGTGTTGTAAGTGACAGGTTTCAACCAGCAAGGTTGGCTAACCATCTTCTATGCTGCAGTGTTGTAAGTGACAGGTTTCAACCAGCAAGGCTGACTAACCATCTTCTATGCTGCAGTGTTGTAAGTGACAGGTTTCAACCAGCAGAGTTGGCTAACCATCTTCTATGCTGCAGTGTTGTAAGTGACAGGTTTCAACCAGCAAGGTTGGCTAACCATCTTCTATGCTGCAGTGCTGTAACTGGCAGGTTTCAACCAGCAAGGTTGGCTAACCATCTTCTATGCTGCAGTGTTGTAAGTGACAAGTTTCAACCAGCAAGATTGGCTAACCATCTTCTCCTCAAATTATAAGATAGTTATAAATTAACGTACACACTAGGCCTCAAAAAAGCAGAGGAACAAGTAATTGTTAAAGTTAAGTTAAATACTAAAAAACAATTACTTTTTTTAATTGTTTACAAATTTATGATTATTCTTTTGTAATATGATATTATCTAATTTTATATTACATGAACCAACTTAGCTTTCACTGGTTCATGTCAAGAGTATGAAACCTACTGTCTGGTGGGGTGGTTTAAACACCTTTTCTGGTGAGTGAGAAGTGGTAACACTCTCATTGCTATCCTGTTGGAATTGTCCTCCATCTTCATTTTCTTCAAGGATAGCATGTGTCTGTAGAAGACTTGAACAATGATCAGGGATTTCTCCATCCTTCAGGATGCTGGTGGCTGGTGCTCCAGCTGATACACTAAAAAGTTGTGAATCACATTGCTTATAAAATAGTCTTGAAAATAGCTCATAAATCACATTACAAATATAACAGTTCTGTAAATAATAATTGATAAATCGCTTTACTAATATAACAGTTCTGTAAATAATAATTGATAAATCACATTACTAATATAACAGTTCTGTAAATAATAATTGATAAATCGCTTTACTAATATAACAGTTTTGTAAATAATAATTGATAAATCACATTATAAATATAACAGTTCTGTAAATAATAATTGATAAATCCCATTACTAATATAACAGTTCTGTAAATAATAATTGATAAATCACATTACTAATATAACAGTTTTGTAAATAATAATTGATAAATCACTTTACTAATATAACAGTTCTGTAAATAATAATTGATAAATCACATTACTAATATAACAGTTCTGTAAATAATTGATAAATCACATTACTAATATAACAGTTCTGTAAATAATAATTGGTAAATCACATTACTAATATAACAGTTCTGTAAATAATAATTGATAAATCACATTACTAATATAACAGTTCTGTAAATAATAATTGGTAAATCACATTACTAATATAACAGTTCTGTAAATAATAATTGATAAAACACATTACTAATATAACAGTTCTGTAAATAATAATTGATAAATCACATTACTAATATAACAGTTCTGTAAATAATAATTGGTAAATCACATTACTATTATAACAGTTCTGTAAATAATAATTGATAAATCACATTACTAATATAACAGTTTTGTAAATAATAATTGATAAATCACATTACTAACATAACAATCTCAAAAATAATTCAAAACAATAAACAGATGTGCTTTTCTGTCTGCTTTTATCCTTTATTTATTATCATAATATTAACAATTCAACACAATATGAACAGAAAAGCTTTGCTTCATACCAGTTTATTCTTATAACAGTATGTAATATATTG